TAGCTACTGCAGGGTTAACAAGTTAGCTAACTAGGTTGGCTATGCTAGCAAGTAAGCTTGCCAGTAGGCTAGAATGTTAGCGAGTTAGCTTGCTAACTAGGTAGGTTGTGCTAACAAGTAAGCTTACCCTCCACATTAGTGTTTATCTTTGTTTGTCTGCACATTAATGATACCTTGAACTCAATGAGAAGAAACAGAGGCTGCAGCTTGTGCTCAGAGTAGAATAATTTGATTTGAGCCAAAGTGCACCCTCTCATATTTCACACACAGCAGGAAGTCAGGAAATCTTAATCAGTGCGGTGCTTATTGCGAAATTGTGTCTTCAAGTACACTCAGACAAACTTCAGAGGATATGAATGCAGTTTCTAGTTCATGTCGACAATTTTCAGATTGTTAGTCATTTTCAAAACCAGTGATGCTGCAAGTGAAATATGTTCATGGTGAATTCCTCCTTAATGCTGGAGGTAAAAGAGGTTCATTTAAACAGAAGCTGCTAAAGCAGCATCCATGAAGTGTCTCACTAAAATACAAATAACAGGTCCTCCTGGCTGAGAGGTCTAAATCCTATCATGTGTGCAGCCCCTTCACATTAAAAACCATATTCAGATAATCTTCTAAATAATCTTAAACAATACATTCTCCATTTCTTTTCCTTCAGTAACATGAAAGCTGCAGAGAAACCAAGCTCTCCTCTACGCTGTCTTCACTGCAGGGGGGATTCGATCACAGCGTCTGGCTTTGCAGATCTTTTCCTGTGTAGAGATGAATGCAAGATATGCATGTGTTATCAACCACATTTTGGGGTTTTTTGGTTTTTTTTTCAACTGGTTTTTCAACAGCATTCCCATTTCTAAGAACATCAGTGTATCAAGATGACATCAACCTCACCGCATAACCTACTGACATTTTATAAATAGACTTATACACAGCAGCCAAACATAAAAAAAACAGTGACTCTTGTGTTTACTCATAGCAGTATGATGAAGTGTCACTGAAGTACAGACGAAAAACTGTATTGACGCTGAAATGATGAGGGTTAAAAGTTTTACTAGCAAGTCAAGTTGCAGATAACTAGTTTTGGGTGGAAACAAATCAGTACGGAAATAGAGCTATCAGATAAAGATGTGATGTGAAAAAAAAGCAGAGAAAATGCAAGCCAAGCGCCTCTTAAAACCACACCTCGAGGTGGTTTCTGAGGCAATCTTGCCAGATATAAAAAGCTGGGTATGGCCTATGAAAGTCAACATTTATTTTTTTTTATTTTTTATATATATCAAATCATGTCCTACCAAAAATAAACTTAAAATTATAACTTATCAAGACACTAATTCTGCTTCCAGGGTGAGACATGAGGAAAGATCTGCCAGATGATTAGGAAAGCTAAGAGGGAAAGAAGCAGGAGTGGCAGAAGACCGAGAGCTCCGGAAGATCTCAAGAGTCAAATCACCAAAAATAAGTTGAGGAAAACCTGGTACAGAAAATTCCACACACCAGAAAAAAAAATTTTTGATTAATCAGTCTCAAGCCCTAAACAGCCCTCTTCAAAGTGTTGTTTAGGGGTTGAGACTTTTACGAGGGTAAAACTGAAAATGGTCCTCACATTCACAAATGCACACACCCACACCCACATCCAGCTGTCCAAGCACAGAGGATCTCTCTTTTGATTGCCTCTCCCAAGGTTTCTTCCCATATCAATTCGGTTGTTACAAGGTTCATGGGAGATTTTCCTTGTCGTCTTAGAGACCTGGGCCTGGTTAACTTGGTTTCACACAGGACATCCTGCTTCCTTATTTAGCTCTCTATATTACTATCTTTTTTGTACCCATTGGTGCATTCTTCATGTGATTGCAGCTTAATGTGGGTTATACTACGAGGATTATACTAATTAAATGGGTTATAAACAAACTCTGGTGCATTGTTTCTCATAGCTATACATACAAACAGTGCACTAATGAAAGTATGAGGGGAGCTGCAGTTTTTTTGGTTTACAAATGAACAAAAATACAAACATTTTTCTTTTCTTGGACTCACTGAGCTTTAAGAAGGTCCTTCTCCTTCTTCTCCTCCTCCTCCATGTCCAGCTTGGTTTCCAAGGCCCTCTTTCATCTTCTGTCTTTCCCAGCATCTCCTCGATCTTGTCAGAGGAAACCTTCTTCCTCCCTTAGAGAGACACACAGGGAACCATAGTGTCTTTAACTAACAGGTTGTTTTATACTGTATGTATCTTTCTATGCAGTTACTTGTCAGTGTAGAGGTTACAATGCTTTAAACACAAATTAATTACCCTAATTCTACACTGCTTCTAAACAGCATTAGTATTTTTTAATATGTGCCACTGTAGATCATTAATTTGCACTTATAGAAGTCAGCTTTAAATTTTTTTAAGGAACCTCAGTCCTGAGACTGAGTGCCAGTGAGATTCAGTTGCACAAAATTCTGCCGTGCTAATGCACTGTATTAATTATTGTAAGCACATAAAGTGCAAGATTCTCTCAATGACACAGTGGCTATGACACATGGGTAGTAGTCATACAAGGATAGGCAGAAAAAATATTTAAGGGGATTATAGAATAAAACTCTTTTATCTGTTAGTCACAGTATAGACAAGTTTCCACTCATAATTTTGCAACAGCACAGGAAGAAAAATGTAGTGGCTCAAAACTGACACACATTTCACATCGCTGCAGGTCTGGTACAGGCAGCAGCTGCTCAAACCTGGACAGGAATTCAGACACCAGCTGCTGCGGTCTTTTGTCATAGTTAGAGCTACAGACATATACACAATTTCAGATTTAAATAATCAACACATCACCACTGTAAATGGTTAATGAAACTATAGATTTTATTAAATCAACAGTGAACCTCTGTTATGTCTTTTGTCATAATGAAAGAGCTCTGCACCCCTTCCCTCCCCTTGATCTTTAACAGATATGAATTTCTCACAAACAAACCCACTTAGAAGAAGATCTCCTTTGCAGAGGGAACATTCAAAAGTCTGTGAACCAGGCGGGAAAAGCTGGTATACGAGGTCTTCAGTGTATATCACCACTGGTCTGTTAAGAAATGGACACAACACTCATGGTATTAAATCATTTTGTGACTACCTTGAGTTACTAAATATACATGTGCTCTCAATATTTTGTGTATGTTAACCTTCTTTAAAAACCCTCCATCTTCACAGTGGAGCTCAGTTCGGCATTGCAGGTGTGGATTTTATCCAGGTGGCTCTGGATGATTTGCATCAACCATCACCACGACACAGCTCCAGAACCAGCTGCAACAAGACAAAGGTGGGAGACAGGTAACTCACAAGAGCATGGTACAGCAGGGAAAAGACTGATTTCTATTATTAGAGGGCACAACAGTATTTTTAAATGTTCATGAGACAATAACAAGACACATACTAATATTACAACTGAGACAATTACAAAAACAAAGTCATAAATACATGAGAGATAATTTTCTTTATTAAAACTGTATTAGTAACTATTATTTGGTAAAATGACTGGCTGCATATGCCAGCAGATAACTAAATGAATATCTATCCAACCTTCTGGTACATTTAAAAACGTCTAAACATTTAATAAAATACAGTTTTTTTTCTTCATACTCACAACTTCCGGGTAAAACGGATGTTGTGAAAACTGTCGTGCCACATGTGCTTTCCTTCAAAATAAAAGCTGGTGCGTTCAATTCTTCTTCTATTAACAAAAGGATAATTTATGAAAATTCGTTTGTTGAGTTAAATTGTATCTCAAACGAAGATGTCTCTGTGATGCGGGCATAAGCGAAAATGTGGAAAATGATAGGAATGGAAGCAAATTATAGGCTACATGTGTCACACAACATACAGGTGGTTGTTTGTGCATATAGCACTTTCTGCCAGCAGATGGCGCACATCTGTCAGTCTTTGTGGTACCCTGGACCCTTTAAACTTGAGTTTATACCAAATTCTTATCTTTGTGTAGTTTTTTTTTTTTTTTTTTTTTTTTTACACAAAAACAAAACAAACAAAAGACAGCTATTGTATGTGCAATAGGCTTTTTTTCACTGAGGACTTTTTTGACGTGTCACATTAGGAAAAGCAACAGTCTAAACTATAACATCAATGGTGGCTGATTTCCATTTAGTTTTTTTTTTTTTTTCAGTTTCAGGATGCTGGCTCCCTGTCACACTGTCCAGAATAGTCAAACTGGTTTGCTCAGGGGTCACTATGCAAAATGACAGGAGGCTAGCTGTGAAGTTCTGTGAAGTTTAGTTGATCTGACACACATTAAACATGGCTTAATAGAGACAATTTCAAACGCAAGTACACAAATTGACTTCACTATAACTCACAGCATTCACAGACAAAGTACTTGTCCTTATTTGGACACATTTTCACCACAAATACAACATGCTAATGTCTTTAGCACAAGCCTATGGCATTTTACATGAGCCTAGCAGCCAACGTACTTTTCCTCTTCTCATATAAAACCAGGAACAACAGCAACATTTAACAAAGGTAACGGTATGTGATTTTGCTCCATTACAACTCACAAGGTTCACTGACAAAACAACTGTCTTATACTAAACATGTTTCCCAAACAAATATAACATGCTAACGTTATTAGCACAAGCCTATGGCATTTTACATTGTATAAATTAGCCTAGCGACAAGCAGAGATTTCCTCTGCTCATATGAAGCCAGGATAAATCACACACAAGACTTAAGATGCTATTTTGTGGAGGCTTTATTGTCTTCACAATTTATTTTTTATTATCTCTGAAACAAAAGTAAATAAAAAGTAAAAAAGTACTAGTTTCAGGACACTGGGACTTTATCGTCTCCTTAAAGGACACTATTGTCACTGACAATGTTTAGGTTTGTTTTTTTTTTAATTTATCAGGTCTTATCGATCCAAAATAGCTAGGAGAAATTGAAATTGCATACTAAGGGAGGTTCATGACAAAAGAACATGAGACAAAGCCAAAGTACTACACACACTATAACACATGTATGCAGGGTTTATTCTGTCCTGGGTGGAGTGTATACAGTGATACACATCTAAAAAAAAAAAAAATAAATCATTTATTAAGTTATACACATATATTTCAGCAAACTGTCCCTGTTTTTTCTTCAGGTCCATGGGGTCAATTGTGAAACCCCTTTTCCCAGGTTGTATCATACGATCAGTGGTACAGGAGGGAGACACAGAGGTAACACTCCCAGTTTTTTACACGCCCATTCAGCGCTCAACAGCCAGCGCCGGCGGCAGCCCGCAACTAGGGCACTCACTGTAACTGTACATGTCTGCTCATGTATTAGAGGAATATTAGCAGCTCTTCGCCACCATTAGGCTGTCGAGTCTTTAGTATAACTCACACAAACTCTGGTTTTCATACAGTTAATATCTTAATTGTGCGCAAACTTGGAGAGCAGCTGGGATACTTGTCACCATGGCAGGAGGAAGACGCGGGGGCGCACCTAGATCTGGCGAGGACGTCTCCTTAGTCAGTCCCGTTGTAAAGTACCTACTGTTCCTGTTTAATTTTATATTTTGGGTAAGTGTTACTTATGGTGTTAAACACAGTGGGCCACATATACTCGTGGTGTAACCTTGTTTACTCTTGTCTGTGTGCAGGTTAATCATTGTGACTCTTGGCACACCAGATTTGCTCTCTGATGTCTTCAGGAAAACTATTTGTTAAACAAGGAACAAGAGTTAAATGGCATTTCTCAGGACTTTAGGTTCCAGTTATGTCACACTTACTGTGTTTACTACTTTTGTTTAACCTCAAAGTGTGAAATTTGATCTGCTTGGAGCATCCAGTGGTTTGTTTGTTTAAGGTGGTTGTTCATTAACTTAGGTGTTTTACAAGAAGTGAAATTGTTAAGGAAAGAGAGGGGAAGTTAAGCACAGCTGACACACCAGGTGTCAAGTTGTATTCTCACTTTGCAAACAGGAATGTATCATTGGGTTTGTCAGAGGGGATTTTGAGCTCAGAACAAGTTCTCAATAACAGTACTTAAAACACCTAAACTCAGCCAACAAAACTGCTGTGGTGTCATTTCAGCGTAGTTCCTTTCATGACAGTTGCCAGGAAACACAAACTGTCATTGATTCATATGCTGATGGGGCCATGTACAAGTAGGTCTCCACTTCTCACACAAATCTGTCTGTTGACTGGAGGAAACATGATCGCTGTGGAGCAGGATTCACCCCAAGTGAGATGTTTTATTTCCCATTTAAACCAAACACAGCAGGTGATTGTGTTGATCGTATTTGTAGATGTTCACCAACAATCAGATGTTAATAAATGCACGACTCAATCCTTTACAAGCAAAGAATTCAGCTGAGGGTGACAGCAAAGCTCGGCAGTGGGTTGTAAACTAACCAAAGTTCATATCGGTGCGTTTCAGGTGCTCAGGGACTGTGACATAAGGAGATTTCTGGCTTACAACATTTGCAAAGCAGAGCTGTTGTTGCAGATTAAACTTGTTGGGATTTAGTGGAGACTTTTCTGCTGCTGGTCGAGCAACAGAAATGACAAAAAAAAGAGTTTAAACATGCAAATCCAGTGAGAACTCTAACAGACAGGAAGTTTTCAGAAGTGCTTTTTTAATTTCTGACCAAAAAAGTCTGTGTAGCTTTCCTTTCTCTGTTTCCTACAGTCTCAGGAGTGTCTTTAAAACAAACCTGTATGAGTGTGTCAGGCGTCTTCATGACTTCTGGCCATGTACAAACAGGCTACGGCTGTGTAAAAACTTGAAGCTCTTCGACATGGAATGTGTTATTGTCATTTCTGTTGCCTCTGGCTACAATGGGCTCCGCACAGGACACACCAGAGATAAAAGCGCAGGGTTCTTGTCTCGTCTAGATTGTCTGTAATCTCAGGAAATTTCATGGAAAGCCCATTTTATAACAAACAAGAATCTGATTTCATGACCACTTACTCTTAGATGCGGCATTTCACATTTCATTAGACTTATACAAGATACATGATGGCAAAAAAAACAGCCTGTTCTTCACTGTGAAACTCAATCTTTAAAAAATGGGGCAGACAAATCTAGCTTTGCCCTCCCACCCCATGAAGCTGCAGTGTCTGTGGTAACTGGATCCATTTCATTCGGGGTGGGAAGAGTGCTCCTGAGGGCTCCCTATTATTCCATTGAGACTGAGAGAGGAGCGCTGAGTGAAAGGCTCTTTATTTTTTAGGGAAAGGTACAGATTGCTGCCAGGTCGATTTAGTCCAATGGAAGCAGAGTGGATGGCAGAGTCTCCTTATCTGCATTTCTAATGAAAAATGTTGTGGGCTCGGAGCCCCGAGGCTAAAAAAGCAGGGATTTTCCTTGAGTGTATTTTAGGGAAATTAGTTGGTATTCTCTCAGTACGGCCTTGTCTATGACTCATATGTCACTGATTGCATTGTGGTGAGTGGTGCCACTCCCTGGACAAGTACAAACACAGAAATGGTTCTTCACCTACTGTGCTGAGTGGTTTCTCCTGCTTATGCCCCATTATAATGTTTCAAGATGTGCTAAGTATAAAGAGATCTTTTTTTTCTCTGCTCCCCTTAGATAATTTCCCTGGTGATGGTGGGAATCGGCGTGTACGCCCGCATGATGAAACATGCAGGTAAGTGATCCTTCACTGATAGAGCATACAGTCCTTCCCCATGTTCAGTGGGAGACAGTGGGAGTATTGAGTGTCAGGACAGTATGTTCGCTTTTAGGCTTTTTTGCCTCCACCAAACAGCAGGGTGGTGAAAAAGTAGGAAAACAGCATCCAAAGCTGTGTTGTTCAAGGTTTCATGAGGGAAAATAAACATATTTCTACCCTGATACAGTACAGGCCAAAAGTTTGGACACACCTTCTCATTCAATGCGTTTTCTTTATTTTCATGACTATTTACAGTGTAGATTCTCACTGAAGGCATCAAAACTATGAATGAACACATGTGGAGTTATGTACTTAACAAAAAAAGGTGAAATAACTGAAAACATGTTTTATATTCTAGTTTCTTCAAAATAGCCACCCTTTGCTCTGATTACTGCTTTGCACACTCTTGGCATTCTCTCCATGAGCTTCAAGAGGTAGTCACCTGAAATGGTTTCCACTTCACAGGTGTGCCTTATCAGGGTTAATTAGTGGAATTTCTTGCTTTATCAATGGGGTTGGGACCATCAGTTGTGTTGTGCAGAAGTCAGGTTAATACACAGCCGACAGCCCTATTGGACAACTGTTAAAATTCATATTATGGCAAGAACCAATCAGCTAACTAAAGAAAAACGAGTGGCCATCATTACTTTAAGAAATGAAGGTCAGTCAGTCCGGAAAATTGCAAAAACTTTAAATGTGTCCCCAAGTGGAGTCGCAAAAACCATCAAGCGCTACAACGAAACTGGCACACATGAGGACCGACCCAGGAAAGGAAGACCAAGAGTCACCTCTGCTTCTGAGGATAAGTTCATCCGAGTCACCAGCCTCAGAAATCGCAAGTTAACAGCAGCTCAGATCAGAGACCAGATGAATGCCACACAGAGTTCTAGCAGCAGACCCATCTCTAGAACAACTGTTAAGAGGAGACTGCGCCAATCAGGCCTTCATGGTCAAATAGCTGCTAGGAAACCACTGCTAAGGAGAGGCAACAAGCAGAAGAGATTTGTTTGGGCCAAGAAACACAAGGAATGGACATTAGACCAGTGGAAATCTGTGCTTTGGTCTGATGAGTCCAAATTTGAGATCTTTGGTTCCAACCGCCGTGTCTTTGTGAGACGCAGAAAAGGTGAACGGATGGATTCCACATGCCTGGTTCCCACTGTGAAGCATGGAGGAGGAGGTGTGATGGTGTGGGGGTGTTTTGCTGGTGACACTGTTGGGGATTTATTCAAAATTGAAGGCACACTGAACCAGCATGGCTACCACAGCATCCTGCAGCGACATGCCATCCCATCCGGTTTGCGTTTAGTTGGACGATCATTTATTTTTCAACAGGACAATGACCCCAAACACACCTCCAGGCTGTGTAAGGGCTATTTGACCAAGAAGGAGAGTGATGGAGTGCTGCGGCAGATGACCTGGCCTCCACAGTCACCGGACCTGAACCCAATCGAGATGGTTTGGGGTGAGCTGGACCGCAGAGTGAAGGCAAAGGGGCCAACAAGTGCTAAACACCTCTGGGAACTCCTTCAAGACTGTTGGAAAACCATTTCAGGTGACTACCTCTTGAAGCTCATGGAGAGAATGCCAAGAGTGTGCAAAGCAGTAATCAGAGCAAAGGGTGGCTATTTTGAAGAAACTAGAATATAAAACATGTTTTCAGTTATTTCACCTTTTTTTGTTAAGTACATAACTCCACATGTGTTCATTCATAGTTTTGATGCCTTCAGTGAGAATCTACACTGTAAATAGTCATGAAAATAAAGAAAACGCATTGAATGAGAAGGTGTGTCCAAACTTTTGGCCTGTACTGTATATACTGAGAGAGCTAGAGGAAGACACTTCAAAGCACATTTAAACGTTTCCTGTTATGTCACTGTTTGAAGCTTTCTTCACATCAGTCTTTGAACCCCTCGTTTCTTCTTGTTTTCAGAGGCGGCCCTGGCGTGTCTGTCAGTGGACCCGGCTGTAATGCTGTTGGTCGTGGGGATCCTCATGTTCATCATCACCTTCTGTGGCTGTGTGGGCTCACTGCGAGAAAACATCTGCCTCCTGCAGACTGTAAGTCAGGAGTAGGCTACGTAGCCGAGACACTGTATGCTGTATGACATGATGTGGAGGTAATGGTGTCAGATTCAAACTCAGTCAATGAGCTGCCTGATCATCTCAACAATATTTTAGCATTAGCTCTAATAATTTATACAATGTTAAATGCCATAGGCTTGTGCTAATAACGTTAGCATGTTGTATTTGTTTGGAAAACGTGTTTAGTATAAGACAGTTGTTTTGTCTGTGAACTATGTGAGTTGTCATGGAGCCAAATTTTGTAACGTTACCTTTGTTAAATGTTGGTGTTGTCCCTGGCTTTACATGAGGAGAGAAGAGAGTAAGCTAGCCGCTGGGGTAATTTATACAATGTAAAATGCCATAGGCTTGTGCTAATAACGTTAGCATGTTGTATTTGTTTGGAAAACGTGTTTAGTATAAGACAGTTGTTTTGTCGGTGAACCTTGTGAGCTGTAATGGAGCTGAATTTTGTAACGTTACCTTTGTTAAATGTTGCTGTTGTCCCTGGTTTCATATGAGTAGAGAAAAAGTCTTCTAGTCACTGGGCTAGTTTATACAATGTAAAATGCCATAGGCTTGTGCTAAAAACATTAGCATGTTGTATTTGTGGGGAAAAGGTGTCCAAATAAGGACAAGTGTTTGTCTGTGAATGCTGCGAGTTATAGTGAAGCTGATTTGTGTACTTGTATTTCAAATTGTCGCTATTAAGCCATGTTTAATGTGTGTTTAATATGTGTTTTGAATCAAGGAAAATTTACAGCACTTCACAGAAACCTCTGCCGCCGACGAGTGTTTTGGAGGTGTAACTGCAGAGTGACACAGACACACACCACCACCAGCTCAAGTATAAATGAGATGTGTTGTCCATCTTTTTATGGTCAATGGGACAAACGGGTCTTCCGCGGGACACCGTTGGGTCAAAAGTAGGCAGTAAATTCACAATTGACGTTCCAAGGGACACAGACTATTGTTTCCCTGACAATACAAAACTCTGTGAACAACAAAGTTGTGTTGAAATCGGCAGGAGGAGAGCTAGTTATCGTTAGCTGTTCGCAGCCAGTGACCGGAAGTAACAGCTTGAGGTTGCATTGAGTTTCATTATGATGCGTTCAAGCTCTATTGCGTAAAAATGATCTCTGAATGGAGGTAGAATTATAAAGTTTTCGTGATGTGTTCAAAAGTTATCTTGTAAAATGTACTCGAACTTGAATACAGTTTGAAGGAGAAATTTGTTGATATTTTTACAAGCAAAAGAAAAAGATACCGATAAAATGCTATTAAGCTAGTTTTTTTTTCAATGTATGTGAAAGAAGGTTATTTTAAAGGTTGTGTCATGAATGTGTTTGATTGAATTTGTGCTCATTCAAAAGTAGTGTAATGAAGTGACTTTAAATCAGTTATTTTTTGTAGTAGATTTCTTTGTTTACCTGGCACAAAAATCAGCAACAACAAAAGAACATAAGTATGGGCTATTGACCAAATGTTTTTGTTAAACATCTGTATCGGCCCAGAATTTACAAGCGGTGCATCCCTATTGTAAACAGATTTTTTGATATAGTTTTTCTGTTTGTTGCTAAATGCAGTCGCCCAGTTTTCCTCACAAATTCTATGTAACACAGAATGACTAATTGATATATTAATTTCCATTTTTGGGAAGAAGTGTTCTTTTAAGCAGTCTTATAAAATCAATCAAATCAAACCAGTGTTTAGTCGACTAGCGTGTTACAACATATTTCTGTTTTAAGCCCCTGCTCTTAGTTTTCTTGCTTTTTCTGCAGCTAATACCAGCTGTGTGCATGCAGTCACAGGATCTCATGGACTCTGTCCTCTAAAGAATTAACCCAGAACAGATTCATTTTAACACAGTTGTCACCATGTGTCTCTCTTTCCTCCTCACAGTTCTGTATCTGTCTGACAGTGATCTTCCTGCTCCAGCTGATTGCTGGCGTCCTGGGCTTCATCTTCTCTGATAGGGTAGGGTACACTTTGCTTTATTTGTCCTTTTCTGATTGTGTTTATTGGTGAAACACTGTCCTCTACTGGACTTTGTCTGTAACTGCTTCTGAGTAAACTAATGAAGTCAGCAGCAGTTTCCTCACAGATAAGGTTGTTAGATGTGATTTTGTTTGTTAGAGGTGAGGATCTTAAAGGGGAAGATGGATTTCTAATTAAACAATCATGAGGTCGCCATCAAACTGCTACTAGTTGACAAAAACCGATTTCACAAAAATGGGCTAATGTATCTGTCTTTGTTATCTCCACTGATACAAAAGCTTAAATGATATGATTCAACATATTACTTTACTGTGTATTCCTGATGTATATTTTTGTTCATACTCTGCCAAGGCTCGGAACAGAGTGACGGAGATTATCAATAATGCCATTGTTCACTACAGAGAGGACCTTGATCTGCAGAACCTCATTGACTTTGGTCAGAAAGAGGTAAGGATTCAGACTTCACACACACTGTAGATCATCATTTTGTCATTATAAACACCAGGGTGATAATATAATGAACATGTTTTCTAATCTTTTCCATCTCAAATGCTTGTTTGTGTCCTCAGTTTGGCTGCTGTGGCGGTGTGACATACACTGACTGGTCCCAGAATATGTACTTCAAATGCGAAAAAGACAACCCCAGCAGAGAGCGCTGCTCTGTCCCCTTCTCCTGTTGTATCATGACGAAAGACAAGGTTGCTCTCTTCACAAGACTCTGCTCATACTTCGTTTTGTTTGTTTTGTTTGCACAATTTTGTTTATTGAAATTTTCAGGGCATACGTGAATTGATAGCTGTGTCTTAGTTTCAATGCCCAATTCTGGATAAGGAGATATTCATGGGCGAATACCTTTATATGTGTGGAGATACAGATAGAAAAAGTGATAATAAAAATTAGGGGAAAAAAGACTCGATTAAATAATTACAAAATAAATAAATGAATAGATAAGATAAATAAATCATAAGAATAATAATATAAGAAATATTAAAAAATAGAAATAAATGAGTAGATATTGATAAAAATGAAACCAAATTAAGAGATGAAGTCAAAATTAATTAGTGCAAACAAGGACAAGCTGAATAAAGATGAAACATGAATAAACATGAATGAAGAAAGATAGAAATGAAATAAAATAGAGCGGTAGTAACAGTGATAGTAATAGTTGATTAATAGAAAGTAATAAATGAAGAAGATAAAAAGTAAATATAAAAAAAATGTCAGTAAAGGATACAAAAGAAAACGAATAACACCATGCTTTTTCTAAAAGCAGGTGGTTATCAACACCATGTGTGGCCACGGCATGCAGGAGTTAGAGTACGTCGAGGCTGCAGACTACATCCACACCAACGGCTGCATAGACAAACTGGTGAATTGGATCCACAGTAACCTGTTCCTACTGGGAGGCATCGCCCTGGGACTGGCCATACCACAGGTAGGAGTACAACCTACATACCAGCCCACACACACTTAACTCCAGCCTATAAGAGCAGAGACTAAACTGGAGAGCTCTCTGTTTTTGTTTCCCGCTCTGCAGCTGGTTGGCATCCTGTTGTCTCAGATTTTGATCAACCAGATCAAAGACCAGATCGAGCTCCAGGACTACAGCCGCAAGCACCGCTCCGACCCGTTCAGCTGACCCGAGTCGGATCAGACCAGATTCTGATGAACGGCACCAGAAACAGGGTGACACCAGCAGATTAGGGGGAGAATCACACATGCCTGAAAAATATCTGTCATCTCTGCCTGGACTGAGCTTTCATCATCGCTGCTCTTAGACTTAAAGACACAACACTAGTGTGCTTTCAAGTATTTTGCATGGAAGTGGATTTATGTTCACACAAAGAACACAGACAGAAAAACAGGACTCTGCTGCCACCTTGTGGACAAAGACTGTGCTTGAATTTACCAAACTATGTACAGTAGTTAGTACGCAAGCAGGGGCAGGGAGGGTGTTTGGTGGTCAGGGTCATATTGATGGGATCATTGACCTTTACTTAAAGGTCCAGTGTGTAGGATTCAAGGGGATGTATTGGCAATAATGGAATATAATATAATAACCGATAATATATATAACCGATAATATATATAATATAATATATATTTCTATAGTTTCATAACCACCTGGAAATAAGAATCATTGGGTTTTTGCTACCTTGGAATGAGCCATTTAGATCTACATAGGGAGCAGTCCCTTATCCACAGAGATTGCCATGTTGCCCAGAACCGACCAACCAAACACAGGCTCTAGTTGGGCCATTTGTGTTTTCACATCAGCTACCAGTTAGCAGCCTCTCTGTGATGATCAGCGTTGGAAAAACACTGTTTTTTAACGTAGGACTGCTTTATTCAGTATTTTTACTGGTTTAAGTCGCCAGGTCCGCTTGTTTTGGAGAGGAAGAGACCTCTGTGGATAGACAGATAGACAATGCAGCAACAGAATCTTGATTCATATGTGATCGGCACTGCCTAGTTTGACAGTTTGACCACAGTTCATGAGCAGTGATTGACATGACTGACAGCTGAGTTAGAGTGTGTAATGGATTCTTGCAGATGCCATTAGACGCACTACGAGGAGGCAGAGGAACATGATTTTTGCTTTACTAAGTGTTTTTATTGGTGTAAGTCGCCACAATCGTCGTTTTGCAGAGGAAGAGACCTCTGGATATTTCGGCTCCCAGTAAAAACCTCTTGAATATTTGGGGCCAGGTGCACAAAGCACCTTAAGTTTGCCCCTGAAGTATGACACTTAAGGCTTACATAAAATACCTCACCAATAACTGACTGGTAAGATCCTGTTGCATAAAACCACAGAGCAATTATTAATTTTAAAGAGACTGGAAGAGTGCAGTGTTGGAAAGTTAAGTGATTCAATCCCAGACAGTCATGATCACAAACTGACTTGTGGTAAAACTTAAAGCACAAAATCAGTTGCTCATCATTGAGCATGTCCATCGGGTTCTCCTAGTTGTGAAACACTCTTCTCTAGACGCCTTAATTTTTCTTATATATCCATAAACCCAACCATGTTGCAGTTAAGATGGGGTCAGAGGTACTTTATGTTTTTGTCCTTACCTCGGTAACTAAGATTCTTTGTGTAGTGGTTTAACAAACTTAAAGCAATTTCACAAGTACAAGACAAAGATAAGGAGAAAAACTTAAATTCTGAAGTAAACATTTTGAGGAAACTTAAAGCAGAAGACTTGATGTATTGTGCAACTGATTTTACCTCAAGGAAACCTTAACTCGGACTTTAAGGAAAATCTTAACTTAAGGTTCTCTGTGCCACCTGCCCCTGGATCTGAAGTTATCAGAGAGAAAAGGTGAGGACACATTAGCAGCTGTGGGCTAGAGACCGTCTCTGACATGCCAAACAGTGTTGCTTTGTAATGTGAAACCTGTTTATTCAGTGATTTTAAAGGTTTAAATCACTTGGTCCGTTAATTTTGGAGGGTTGGAGACCTCTGCGGATAATTCAGAAGGAATCCTAGCCGGGAGAGGTTTCAATCCTCACCACTAGATGCCTCTAAATCCCCCTAAATCCTACACACTGTTCCTTTAAGAACTGCGTTAAGTGTAATCTGTTGCAAGTCATATTTTTGCCAAAGACACCAAATAGGAATGTGAGTTAATGCATAGAGTTAATAACGTTTTTTGTTTGTTTGTTTCAACTGCGTCCGTGATTGTTACTAACTGGAAAGGGAGTTGCTTTGTGTGTGTGTGTGTGTGTGTGTGTGTGTCAGATGCATGCTCAGTAATGTTGCTTATGGCTGCGAGCATATGAAGCATGAGCAATACACATAGTTGGTATGTAGTTTTGGATACTTTCACAAGCCTGTGTGTAGCAGCCAAGCAGTGGTTCCCAGCTGGTGGGTTGTGGTCCAAAAGTGGGTCGCAAGTCCATTCTGAATGGACCACAAGCAACTTGCAGACATGTCAAGTTTGTAATTTGAAGTACAGTGAATTTCTGGCACAGAGATTTTATTTTAAAGTGCCATTTCCTGCTGTACAGTGAGAAACTAACAGAAAGCTACTTGACAGAGACAGCAAACTAGCTCAACGGCATGGCCAAACACAAGTATGACACTGAATGTATTACTGTTTGGACCTTGAAGTAAGGACTAAGGAGAAACTGTACTCTGTGGCTGGACCAGTTGGGAACCACTGCTGTAAAGTATTTACCTCTGGGGCCCTGAGATGCCTTGTACCCTTGTTACAAAAGAGAAATAGCATAAGCATATAATAACCCCTTGTATAGAATATTTTTAAGATTTTTTGTAATAGAAAATGACTGTAATGATAATGTTTCTACCTATGGTCTGACTCTTTATAATAAAATGGTTGCTTGGTTGTCCTGCCCAGACCTGACACAGCACATGATGTCATTTCCTGCTCACATTTTATCCAGCTGACAGCGTGCATGGCTGCAGAGCGACTGGATTTTGTGAGGTGTATGTCGTGAAATGTTACCATTGTGAGTAATGTTTGCCAAACCGCACATTTCTGTACATATATCCTGAGGCTGATTTATATGTATATGACTTGAATCCTGCTCTGATGTCTTCCTTTTTCACTTTTCTTTTGTAATATCATTCGACTAAAATACAACAGGATCGGGGAATTCCCATTTTCCCACTAAAGCAAACTGCTGCCTGAGGTGCTGTAGTGTTGTTTTGTTGATGTGATCACTAGAACAGGCCAAGATTGCATTTTGTGACCAATCAGTGAGCAGACAGTGGTTGAGGGTTCTCTGACTGAGGAAAAAAAACATTTACTTGGAGCTAAAACACGAAACATGATCCCACCCTCAGTTGTCTGGATACAGTACCAATTAAAGTTTGATTTGCTCTGACAGCAAAGGAAAGTCAAACTGTTTTTGTGAGGATTTTGGTCATAAATGTTAGTGCTTTTCATGTCTGTGAAAATCATCTACAGCTGTAACTCTGCGTAATAAATCTCTTTTTATCACATGATAATTTGAGGGCAGATGGTTTTTTCTAGCTGTGACATTTTTCTCCTTCACCCAAAGAAGCTCGAAAGTAACTGTGAAGAAGCACAAACCAACACCACCTCTCATCTCCACCCCGTTTCTCCTCCGCCTGGCAAATGAAAACCCTGAGTTGCGAGGCATTCCCAGCCTGAAACCTGACGCCTGTAATCTTTGGGTGCAGAAACAGCCTCTGCATGTTTAACAGCCTTTGACGCAAGTCCATAATCTAAACATGACATTTCTGTGTTAGTTTAAAGGCCGGAGTAGCTCTCCTGACTGTGATTTCCCCTTCAGCACGTCACAAAATCTACTGTATCACCAATCTGATGCCGCAAAGGAGGGAAAGAACATTTCAGATGGCAGAGGCATGTTATAATTTAGTGTAAGCGACTGAGTATAATGAAAAAGTGACAGTTCTAACAGTGTGTATGTGAGAGTGAGAGTGAGAGTGTGTGTTGGCCTGGGCTCTGGTGCTCTGTGTGTGGTCCCTGGTTTTTGCCTCTGACTCACTCAGGCGGCCATGTTGCTGTGGGTTTCAAGGAGGCCCAGACGCACGCACACACACACACACACACAGAGGAGGGAGCAGAGTTAACCCAGTTTTACTCTCAGAACACCAGGAGAGAAACAAAGCATCTGCAGCCATGCAAATACCACGAGTGCACTGTCCAATTAATGCGATAACAACAGCACCATGGCCGAGACCGGACCAGTTTGGACGTTTGTCTTTAGTGGTATCCTGACATATTTAAGCACATTAAAATAATGTGACTGTGTTTGAGTTTGTCTTTTATGTACATTGGTATGTTTTCTGTTTAGCAGTTTTTAAAGATCCCTGCAGCCACCTTAACGACGACAGGAAGCCCAGTCCATTACGAACGTCCCAAAGGAGACTGACTTAATGTAGTTTTGAGTTATTAACTGTGTCCCTCCCTCCCTCCCACACACACACACACTCAGCATACACACTGTATCTTCTGACATATATACATGGGACAGCCATTCAAAACTCTTTAAATCTCCATGTAATTCTTACTATATGACTATTGATAAAGGCTGAGACACTCAGACTGTCATCATTTTCAGACTTTGGATCCAAACTTTCTTAGCAGGTTCCAAAGATTTGGACAGAGATGGGAAAACAAGCCTTCTCCTATGTTGTCCATGTTAAAAGTCCATGTAGCTGAGAAATGTAGCTGCTTTACTTGGGGTGGTTTGAGCCTTTTCCTTGTGTGTGTGATGACTGTATTTCCTGTCTGTTGTATTCCACTGATATTTAAACTGTAAAAGAGATTTCCATCTTAAGGGACCACCTGGTTAAATAAAGGGTTTTTTAAAAAGACAAACAGACACTCATATATAGTAAAAAAGTACATGTATTTTAATCATACATTCTTATGGAAGAGTGGTATGAACTAGTCTGGGGAGGGGAGGGTTTAATCTCCACTACATACCTACATAACTAATCCCAAGACATCATCAGTGCAGACTGGACCACATTCACAGTGCCTCTATGTTGCATGGCTCTATCACAGTTTTCTTTCATAATGCATGACATACATATATGTGTATCTATATTATTCATACTTACACCCATGGGCAGATTATAAGACAATGGACCCTTGGGCGAAAATATGCAAAAGACCCCACCACGTCTCCACCATAGGAACAAGACACACAGACTTGGTGTTGGTTTTGCATCTTTTTTTGTAGTTGTTTTGTGTCTTGTTGTACACATTGTGCATCTTTTTGTGTAATTATATCCTTTTTTGGTCCTTTTGTGTCTCTTTTTGTTTATTTTACTTGTTATTTTGGATCTTTTTGTAGTTATATTGTATTTCTTTGTGGTTGTTTTGCTTGTTTTAGTAGTTATTTTTTGCCTCTATACAGTTTGTTTTCATCTCCTTGTAGTCTTTTTGCGTCTCTTCCTGGTCAGTACGTTCCTGACACTTAGGGCCCCTGCCCATTCAGTAATCCATCCATGCTTATACCTATATTGAATATGTAATACCCATATCATGGCTACTGGAGTAACAGTGCTACATATCTGAATTTCTTTGGCATGAATACTTGTACAATTTATTTATTTAATCCAAGGTTGTTGTTTTTTATATCAAAGTCTTTTTTATTTTCAAATATAAATAAGCGGGCAACTTGAACGCAGAACAATTAAATCAAATCTCTGGATATATATACCCCACACCCACCCTCAGTACTGGACCGTCAGTAAATTTACATACAGCATACATTTATACAAATAAGTAAATAAATAAATTTAAGTAAACATATACATTGACAGTTTCACATTTACATAAGTAAAAACATAAATGCCAGATAGAGAAAAGTCTAATGCCGATAGCAATAAATTAAGGGGAAAAAAGAAAAGTAAAATTAAATAAAATAATTACAAGTACACAAACTCTTGGATTACATAGATATGTTGGTTGATCTAAGGTATTTTAATGTATTTTCCTTTAATTCAAATACGTATCTGTGTGCTGGCTTGTCTCTTGTGCACCATGTGCGTCTTATTCAAAGATGCTGAAAAGCTCATGATACAGATTTGATATGAAGCTCTACTGAAATGAGTTTTGAGATATAACTTTGAGTGCACATACACACACATTTTAAATACATTTAGTATGTTAATAACGGCTGTATTATAGCCCCTGTATATTGATTTGGTAGATCAGTAGTTCTCAGGAGGTCTGAGGACCAGCTGGGGGTCCTTAAGGGATATAAGGGAGAAACATTTCGGCTTCACACTCTTAAGGATGACTGCTTTTAATTTCATTTAAATTATCTTGGTCTGAATACTTTTAATGCACTTTAAATGCCCTATTGCTGAAATTCACTATCTAAACACACTTGCCTTGCCTTGGAGTAGGCACTGCTGGTGACTTTATCATGTATAATACCCTACAGGTGTATGAATCTGCACAAGCTACATGAGAGGAAACCTGTCAGGTGGGGGTCTGTGTTGTTTTGGGGGTCCTTGAGATGAGAAACTTTTGAGAAGGCCTGCCATAAGGCACATTCTTCCACTTGCAGAGGGGGATGGGAGGGGAGGTTTTGTTGCTCTGGCTCTCCCCCACCATGTGCATACCAGAGACAAAAAACAAGCAGACACTGAGCTGCAACTCGGGACACACAACACAGCCTCTGAAAGCTCTCATCACACACTTCACCGGGACTAAAATCACTCCTCGGGACACGTAGAGAGATGTAGGATAATTTATTATCTTATTTTTCTGCCAGAATAAAAGAGGGGGGCTATAGGGAGAAAAGGGGGTGGTGCATCTGAGCCAGAGATCCTATTACACACATCCAGACTTTTTCATGGCAAGTTTTTTGGAAGTGGGGGGAGGGCGAAGCTGCAACTTTCTCGGCCTGATGTCTTTTTCATACTCAGCCTAAAATGCTTCAAATGAACTCTTTATATGGTTTTAAATTGATGTTGCGTTTCTTTTAGAGTTGGGGACAGTGTTTTTGGAGCTGTTTGGATTTGGATGATGAAGGAATCCAGGAGGATCCAGCAGGGATCGGACGAGAAGCGCAGAATAAAAAAGTTTGGGAGGACTGCGAGAAAACTGTGAAGCGCCCTGCAGATTTCCCGCACCATGCCGCGTTTGGAAACTTGTTTTAAATCCAGTGAAGAAAACTTGATGTTTGGGGTACCTGGGAAACAGGAGAATTGAAGAATTCAAAGTGGTTTTATTTGTGCACAGCTGAATCTGTTCCTCCCCAAGATGTCTTCCCAGGGTCGGAGCCCCATTGTTGGATTTTACGGGATGCTTTGCGTCTGGGCTGCCGGGGCGGTGTTGTCTCCAAACGGGACCATATTTGAGGACAACTGCAAGAAAACCACAACCTGCGAGGCACTTAAATACAACACATGTCTGGGATCACCTTTACCATACACACACACTTCTCTGATCCTGGCGGAGGACTCAAGCACCCAAGAAGAGGCTTTTGAGAAGTTGACCATGTGGTCTGGTAAGATTTAATGGGTCCTAGTCAAGTTTCAAAGATGCTTAACCTCATTTTATTTAGTTTATATGTCGTAGAAGAAGAGTGCCAATCATCCTAGCGTTTTATATGTCGTAGAAGAAGAGTGCTAATCATACTAATATTTTATATGTCGTAGAAGAAGAGTGCCAATCATCCTAGCGTTTTATATGTTGTAGAAGAAGAGTGCTAATCATACTAATATTTTATATGTCGTAGAAGAAGAGTGCCAATCATCCTATCCTCCAAAAAGAAAACTGTTGTAAGAGAAAAAATATATAAAAATAATAAA